CAATTTCCAGGTTCTTCCTCAGGCCTCGTCGATGCATCCTTTAAGATACCGTGATGGTGGTGGTATAATGGGGGGGGCGGCTCCTACTCAAAGGCCTGGTGGAAGAGCTCCGTCTTGCAGGCCCTGCGGAACTGCACAAGGTCCCGCAGGGCCCGGATCTCCCCCGGGAGCTCGTTTCACCAGGTAGGAGCCACCACCGAAAAAGCCCTGACCCTGGTCGCAGCTAGTTTGGCGTCCTTGGGACCCGGGATGACCAACACATTTTGAGCCCCCGACCATAGTGCTCTTGGGGGAACATGTGGGGCAAGGCATGTGAACATGTGAAGCCCTTCCCATCCCAAATATCTAGATGGCATTCTTGAGAGCTAGGCGACTGCCTTTGTACTAATAAACACTAGTCAAATTATCACAAAAGAGTGATCGCATTTTTGCAACTCCAGCAGAATTAGCGCAATGTACAGAGTACCCAGCAGTACCAGTGCAATCACAGGGTGCCCAGCAGAACCCAGTGCCACTGTGGCAATGACAGCTCAACAGGACTGATGTCAAGCACAGAATCACAATCGGGGGGGGGGTTGGAAGCCCAGTAGAACCAGTGCAGTGTACATTGCCTAGCAAACCCAGTGCCTTCATAATATTAACAAAGGTTTATTACTATACTGCTTTGAATACATTCTGTCACCAAGCACTGAATATCAGTGGTGGAATTGCCCATGACAGCAGCCATAGAGGCCACCCCGCTCCAAAATGAATGGGTACCAAATTTTACCCCAGACAACCCCAGCTTAGCTAGAGCACAGGATGTCACAGCCCAAAATTGATGCTTAGTCAGTGGACTGCCATCCACGTGATAAAACAAAAAACCTTCCCCAGGACCCCGGGCTGCCAAACAGCCAACCACTGCAGAGACAGGGCACAGTTCTCAATCAGAACATGGGCCCAACTTAATAACAGTCCCTCTATGATGCTGGTCCATCTTAGAACATCACACTGTGATGAAAGCCTTTCCCCCATCCAGTTTTAAATCCTTAACTAATAACGCAGAGCCAGACATGCCACTCCATAACTGTGCAACCAGCTCACTAACTGAGTGCCCCAAAAAGGGCAACTAGAGCAGTGGCATGAAATAGGGTTGGCTTCAAAGTAGGACGCACAAACCTCGTGCCACGTACCAAGTAGGCCTTTAAGAACTAACAGGGAAATAGGCTTCCTAATATCTTTTTGTGGACCTAACTCTCTTGCCCATCCCTCCAGCATCTTCTATAACTGGAAGTCACCGGTGTCTTCCTTAAAACTCAAGGCCTTACTAGCAAGAGCTAATGCCAAAAGGTGGCCCCTAAGAGATCTCATGGCCAATCCCTACTCCTTAGGGCAACGCAGTAATGGAACAAGTGCTCCACCGGGAAGGGCCATGTTACACAATGCCCTGCCTCTGACCTAAATTCCTCGAACTGCTGCACAGCATGCTCATATGCCCTCCTGGTGCTGAGGGCTATGGCTAGAACTATCGCTTTGCAGGCCTCAGCTCTCTAATCATCCATAGCTCCACAGGCATTCCTACCAGATAATGATTGGTTTCTGGGGTCAGCTGATGGAACCTCTCCATCTGTTTATGAGAGAGAGCGTCAGCCACCCCATTATTCACCCCAGGCACGGGATTGGCCAGAAACAGTATGTTAAGCCGAAGGCATCACAGAGTGAAGGCCCTCACCAACTTCATAATTTGTGACAAGTTGGATGAGAGGGAATTAATTGCATGAACCACAGCCATGTTGTCACACCAAAAGTGGACTGTGTGGTTGGCCAAGTCAGTCTCCCACAGCCAAACCAACAACAACAAAAAAATCCTCAAGAAAAGCGAGGTCCCTATTCTAACCTGCCCTTACCCAGGACTCTTACTAGCCCTCCACAAACCAGTGTGCACAGAAGTAGACCCAAAACCCTGAGAACCCACAGCATCAGACATAACCTGAAGCTCAGCTTCAAGCCGCGTGTCATTCCTACAGAAGGATATCCCATTAAATGATTCCAAAAATTCTTGCCAGACCAAAAGGTCAGCATGCATGCCGTTGGTAATACGCACCCTGTGTTGAGGAAGACGTAAACTGGCCATAGCATTGCAGACCCCCCACAAAAAGGCCCACCCAGGTGCCACAGTTTTGCAGGCAAAGTTGAGATGCCCAACCAGTAGCTGTAGCTCTAGCAGGGTAGCTTTCCATCTTCAAGCCGCATGTCATTCCTACAGAAGGATATCCCATTAAATGATTCCAAAAATTCCTGCCAGACCAAAAGGTCAGCATGCATGCCGTTGTTAATATGCACCCTGTGTTGAGGAAGACATAAACTGGCCATAGCATTGCAGACCTTCCACAAGTTTTGCAGGCAAAGTTGAGATGCCCAACCAGTAGCTGTAGCTCTAGCAGGGTAGCTTTCCATTTCACAAGGAAGGAAGCAGCCGTAGCTTGCAGATCAGACACCTTGTCATCAGGGAGGCGAGACAACTGTGCCATGGTGTCCATTTCATTCCCAAGAAAGGTAAGCCTCTGAACTGGACCTTCTGTTTTTTCATGGGCCAGTGGAACTCTTAGCTCCGCTGTCAATTCATGAAAATGTCCAACAACCTAGCACAAAATCCAAATCCTACAGGGCCCACAAATGGGAAATCGTCCAAATAGTGAACGACATCCTGTAAACCGGCTT